AAAAAAAAAAAATAAAAAAAAAAAAAAAAAAAAGTATGAACACGCCAGGGGTCTGACTCCCAATTTCACTGGTCTCAGCGAGCGACTACGTTTTTTTTTCGACATTACGTCGTAGCAGCTCAAGCCAAGGCCTCCTCTACCCATGGGTAGGTCCTCGGGTAGGTCAGAGCTAGTGTGCACACAACTCTGACGACTGAAAAACTAATTCGGCTATATATACTAACCAAGTACTTTTTTCGCCACTCACGGGAACGGCACCGGAGCCACGCGGTTGGAGACGGAATTACAATAGCAGTGTTGTCTATCCATTGTCGATAACCAATTAATAATAGTATGGTAGGTGACCGGTAACCGCTAATAGAACGCTGTAGTATACCTATATGTGGCAAAAGGCAATACATATTTATATAAACTATAAACTCACCAATGAGACCGAACATCGACGGCCCATCAAGTCGTGTTTTAAAAAAGCGACGCATCACTTTTTTGAGGGAGTTCGAGAGTGTGTCTTCCCCGTTGCTGAGAGGCAAAACGGGGTCCTATTTTCGTCCGCAAGATCTCGGTCAATTTTCATTCGAAAACATTGTTCCTCCAATCATTTTCAAGGGGATTCACTTAATCTCCTAATTTCTAATCAGGCAAGTCTGGAATGATTATCAGTACACGAAACTAACTTTACGTTATAAATTCAGGAATGTTATTTTTCGAAATCAAACGAAAAATAATTGAAAGCATTAGATAAAAAAAATTTCAATCTACTTTCACGTTTTATTCAAAGTATTTTGCAATTATAATCGAACCACAAAAAATAGATTAATCAACAGTTAACTTCTATGTATCGTATTTTTGATAACACTCGTTAGTTCGTTAGGACCTAAGTAGGTTACCTACCGAGGACCACATTGGCAAAGTAACGCGGCATACGGGAGGTCCTCTTTAGGCATCCTCAATAATCTAGTACCTACCCGATTGAAAATTAGAAATGGGCGACAGCTTGGCCCAAGTCAAGATGTCCAGGTAGCCAAGGTGGGGCCAAGTGTGTCCTTGTAATGGGGCGCAGACTTAGGTCCAAGTTTCTGCCCAACCGCCGCCTTATTTCGTCTGCTTAAAGTGTGTGTATATATATAGTTTTTTTTTTTTATTTTATAGTGTAGGTACTGACCCCATCTGGAGTATGTACACTTCATATAAATATTATTGTACTCAAGATAAACTTTATGCACGCG